CGTGATCCTGGCGGGCTCCTAGACTGGGCCCTTCAGACTGTCTCCCCCTCCGGCCAGTGATGGAATGTCCATTGGTGTCCTCACATTGTATACACTGTATAGGACGTGATGGTTCACAGAACCTTAGACCACTGGAGTGGAGGCATGGAGGTTCGGGTGAGTATATCTCTGTTATTTTAGCTCCCTAGGCAAAACAAGCACTTAACCCTTACAGTGCGGGGATAGTCCCACTGCAAGGGTTATGATTTTTTGCTTTTTTTCTTTTGAAATATTTTTCGAATTGCCAATGTGTTCACTAAAAAAACAATTAGTAATTGCAATTTTTAAAATTTTTGGATAGGGTGGTGAGGAGGTAACATTTTTTGCTATAATTTTATTGCTGTTAACCCTTCCATGCCCTGCATAAAATTAAATGACAAGTTTCAGCTGGACAAGGGCTTCAAAGGCACCAGGAAACCAGAAGGATAATAAATATAATTTGTAAAGCATATTTTTTCTTGTGTGTTGTGGAAATTTTATTATGTGGACATTTTATTCTAGGATGTGTGCGTTTAAGGTATTGTCATCTGTCTCCCTGTGTCAGATTTAACTGAGGAACGCTCTAACAGAGGGTACTTGGGTTGAATCGGGACCGGCGGTAAAACCGTCAGTATGAGAACCTCCTCATGGGCTTGGAGACATGTTCACAGTGTGTGGAGGCGTTTGCCGGTTTGTGAGTACTAAGTGCAATGCGCTGGGCTCCTTGTCTTCAAACGTATGTACACATTAGTGAAGCAAAGTCCGTATAACAAGATGCATTGCAGAGTGCGCTATCCCTTTTGGATACATATCTGCTTTTATAAGAAGACATTGATAATCTGCCTTGTCCGTATACTGGTACCGTATATAGATAACCACATTAGCAATGTCTCCTCAGATAGTCTCAAACCTGTAAGAACAAGTAGAATGATCTTATTAGATACTGGTCACTCTGAGCAGTATTGAATAGGATCCATGCTGACGATGATGGGGGATGGGGAACCACATGGCCGTTCAGGACCATGAACACCCTTCCTTGTTTTACAGGTGTGTGCATTTCACTGTTCGGCCATGTTGGTGTACTCTCCTGTTCCTTTTGCCTTTTACCTTAATCCTGTTTATATAATTTCCTGTCTGACATCACTTCCTGTCAGACATATATAAAATAAAGGGAGCCAGGAGACAAGCTCTCTAAGAACGGAACCTTCACGATGAAAGCACCACCTGTGTCCTGACTCTATATGACTCTACAGGGGTACCTCCGGTCCTTGCACAAAAGAGCTTAATACAACTGTGCTTTTAAGCACGGGGGACATTCTTTGTGTTTGGCATGGATTTGTGCGTTTAACCAAGCGAATTTCCATAACAGGTGTAGAGTCAATTAATTTAATTTCTTTTGTATTTGTGATTT